ACGCGCGCACGCACGCGCACGCACGCGCACCACACGCGCACACGCACACACGCACACACGCACACACGCACACACGCACACACGCACACACGCACACACGCACACACGCACACACGCACACACGCACACGCACACGCGCACGCGCACACGCGCACACACACACACACACACGCACACACGCACCCACGCACCCACGCACCCACGCACCCACGCACCCACGCACCCATGCACCCACGCACCCACGCACCCATGCACCCACGCACCCACGCACCCACGCACCCACGCACCCACGCACCCACGCACCCACGCACCCACGCACCCACCCACCCACCCACCCACACACACACACACACGCCCACGCGCACGCGCACGCGCACGCGCACGCGCGGGCACGCGCACGCGCACGCGCACGCGCGCGCACGCGCACACGCACACGCAGACGCAGACGCACACGCAGACGCACACGCAGACGCACACGCAGACGCACACTCGCAGGCACACACACACACACCCATCGCAAGCGCACGCACACTCGCATACATGCAGTCATGCACACGCACGCCTTTACGCTCGCACACCCACACGCCTGCACGCGCACACCCACGCCAAATGCGCGCTGACGTCCACGCCCATGCACGCCCTTGCATGCGTGCGCTTATAAGGAAACGCTCACGTATGCCCAAAGAAGCACGCCCACGCACAATTTCCTACAACGCTTCATTTGAACATCATGCTTGGAATTCAGCTGTATATGTGGGGAAGTGGAATGCGAGAGAGTGGAGACATGCCTCAAGTTCTGGAGTTTGTTATGTAGACTGGCGTTTTCTCGCCTCAGAATGAATCTTTCAAGAACCATGCCGCCAGCACACGAGACTTCTCGTTGCGAGGCAGGAGGCTCAGTTCCTGGCCACCAGCCACGTGAACCTTGCTCAGCTGCTCTTCTTAGATGCCACGGGTGATCCAAATGCGCCCAGACCACCTCCAGACGACCGGGCTTGGGAACAAAGCCTGTTGTCGACCATGGCATCTGAAGAACCATGGAAAATACCTCCCCGTGGTGCAAGTTTTTGAGTTTTGGCTGGGTGGTCATTTGCGCGCAGGACGAGATGAATGAAATGAAGCAGAAGAACAAAGGCAGCGGTGGCATTCTGGCACAAGCAGCGGCCTTTGCAAAACGGGTCCGTGGCCATGAGGGCAACGTCGTTGCTAGCGCTTCTCGGCTGTAACCCACCGGACCCATGGGTCTCCGAGTCGTGAAACTGACGCTGGCCCTTCAGCAAGCCTCAAAGACTGCAGAGAATATTGGCTTGAGCAGCCTTGGCTTCGGTTTGTTGATGCGACAAGCTGCGCGCGCCACTAGTTGCTGAGTGTACTGCCGCTTATCATGACACGAATTCCTTTTTTCGACCCCAAGGCTGTGTCGTTCGTGGATCCCGAGAATTGCTTGGTCAAAATCCTCTATCTGCTTTACAGTGTCTTGGATCAATGCAGCACAGATGTAGCTTTTGTTGCCCTCCCCAGGATTTACCGATGAGGATGACTTCCCCTACCTGCCCAGAAAGCTTGGCACGTGTGATATTGGGTGGTCATTTTCCCTTGGCCAGACAGCAGGAGGGGGCCTCTTTGACTGAAGACGCTAGAGTGGATGGACGTGAGAGCAAAAAAGCTGCTGTATGAAGGAGCTGGCGGCTTGCGCTGAACAGTTTGCATGGGAGCGTCTCATTGATTTGTGCCATGAGGTGTTTTCTTTGCCTGAAAAAGATTCGCTGTTGCCACAGCACATATTCAGCCAGCATTTAGTTGGTGAAAATAGTCCTTGGCATGACGTGCCACTGTGCAGGCTGTCCGGAGGGGCGTGAACATCTCTGCCTCAATTACGACACCAATGCGCCCAGCTTTGCACACTTTGACATGTGCCACGATCGGTTGCTCGGCTGTCAGAAAATGCTAGATCGGTTGCACTGGTTGCTTTGGGCCCAGCAGTTCAGGGCTGATGGCTTGCGATTGGCTCAGCAGTGATTCAGCATGTCAAGGACACAAACACATTTTCCAGCTTACCTTGGTGCTGGCTTACCTGCTCAGTATCGCAACATATGTGCATCGGCATTTATTTTGAGCCCTTGGATGGGGGCGGGCGGACAATTCTTGTTGGCGCATAAGCTTATGTAGCTCTCTCTCTCTCTCTCTGTCCTGTCTCTCTTTCTCTCTCATATAATGTTCTTATTTGTGTATGTGATATGTATACACATATTCATGTTTGCATACCTGCGGACGGACGGACAGATAGACAGACGCACAGAGTCAGACAGAAACAGGCAGAGACAGACAGGGAGACAAAGACAGACAGACAAACGGACAGACGGACGGACGGACAGACAGACAGAAAGACAGACAGAAAGACAGACAGAGGTTCGTGCGCGCACACATACATTCATGGTACAAATACCCCCTAACATGAAAAATATTCGCCAGGGCGTGGCCTTTTTCCCCCCGAAGCATGCGCCGGGTTCTTCTTCTAAAGGCGGACGAGCGTGCGTATACTAGGAAAGGTTGAGCAGACAGTCACAAGGTCCCAGCGAACCAATTGCCCACTTTGCTCATGGCTGACAGCTCGCGCCATGGCCTGGCGGGCGTGCGCCCGTGCCGTCGCGAAAGGCCCTGTGCGGAATCGAAAAGCGAGGGTTGTGTGCCTGCAGTCCACGTGGCTTGAGCCCTGAGCCGGTTGAAGACTTGCTTGGCTTTCTGGGCTTCCATTTGGGAAAGATGCTCTTTGGGGATGGCTATGATGATAGAAACGTGGCAAAAGGGGCAACATTACCCTGGCAAATGCAGCCAAACGCGCGTTGGCGGAGGCGCCCGATCCAAGTTGACCGTGGTTGCTTTTCCTTGAGCCTGCTTGAGGCGCGTTCCGCTTCGCGAGTCCCAGGCGGCCGCATGCGTTCCATGCGGCGCGAGCTGGGACAGGAGGCCGGCGCCCTGCGTAAACTTGGGCCTTGATCAAGTTTCCGGTGCGCTCCCACATGACGAACATGACAATTTGTGAGCGAAATCAGTCTTTGTGTCACTGGGCTTTCGGAGAGGGATGCCGTCAGCAGTGTTCCTGGCAGCGCCTTTTGCCGGACTTGGCTTTGGAGGCGGAGGATTCACCTGCTGATCTAAGGCAAGTCAGCATAGCTTGACGGCCCGCCAGGCGAATGTTCAGACCTGTGGTGCTGCCATTGGAGCTGGGCACCCAGAGAGAGACAGAGAGAGAGAGAGAGAGAGAGAGAGAGCGAGAGAGCGACTGTGCCATGGGTGATTAGCACTTTTTGATCTTGGATGGGACAGTTTGTTGCAGCATCTTCATCATGCATTGCCAGGAAACCAGATCTCGTGCGTTTTGCTTGGGCGAACAGAGCATATCTTTGTGGTTGACATGCGCTGGATGTGAGGCCTGTGCGCGTGCTCAGCGTTGGGAGCAAGCCTTGGCAATGCTTCTTCAGATGCCCAGGAGCAAGGCTGGCACGGGGACTTTCAAGGGGGACTGATGGGGTCTGGCACAGTCCAACTATTTGGTGCTGACGCATATCGTCCCCGTGTGCTGGCTGGCCAGCTGGCCAGCCGCCTGGCCAGCGAGTCACGGCGCATCTACTTGTTGCCAGCAAAGCATCTCCACGCTTGCTGTGTCGCGCTGACACACGCTGCCGCTTGCTGCCCAGCCGCTAGCAAACCCGCCTGGACTGCCGCGCCACCGCCAATTTCCCCCAACTCCGCCCCTGTGCCGCCTCGGCCGCCGCCCCTTTGCCCCGTCCCTTTCTCGCGCCCCTTCGCTGCGACGCTGTGCCGCCGCTCTTGTTTTGTTTCTTGGCCCCGCTCCTTTGCCCCGTGCCTTTGCCCCGGCCCCTCCCCCGGTACGGCAAAACTAGATCGCATGATGCAAAAATCACTTATGCCTATTTGTTTTGCTATATGGTTATTAAAATACACAGGGATTATACTTCTACTACTGAACTATATAAATGCTGATTAAGACCTCCAAAAAAGATTGCACATCCCATATCTTGAACTGTAATATATTCTATATGTCCATTCAATATATCATGTGAAAAGCAATGCGAGCAATGTGGTAATCCATGTACCGTACATTTTGCATGAACACATCTTACTAATGCTCCCAAGGCCATAGTAGTAGAACTATTATACTTGTAGACACATAAACGTCGCGATCCAGAGAGAAGACAGACCATGGCATTTAGTACGCATGAGTTGCCCAGAGGGTAAGGTTTTGCTGTTGCTGTTGCGCGACAGGTCTTGCCAAACATTGTGCAGCTTGTCGCGAATGTCTTCAGAGGGCGACGGGAGGGATTGCAGCTGATTTGCAGTGTGCCAAATCATCAGAGTAGCAGAATTCAACCTTCAATGATTCAAGAAGCCCCCAGATGCGGACCTTATGAAGATATTGTTGCAGAGAGGTCTGAGGGACCCGCTCCTGATGCAGCCCTGCGTCTGCGTCTGGTTGTCAATGAGGAATCATTGCTCTATCCTTTTGCGCATCAGCATGACATTCGACCGACAAACAGGATGAAAAGGGTTAAACGTACGAATCATAAAAACAGTCCGAAGAGGATACATGCAAAATATGGATGAACACGACCTACATGATGAACTGGTTGAACGCCAGAGTTCAATCACCTTTCGGTCGGGCCTCTCAGACGAGGTGCTACAACGCAGCGCTGAGTGCATGTGCGCGATCTTTGCGCTGGAGCGTGGGGCGCGGTGTGGGTGTGCGTGTGCTGGAGAGTCACTCAGGAAATCTTGCAGTTGATGCACAAAGCGTTTGCCACAAGAGACCACCTTTTTCAGTCCCACCAGCAATTTGACTTACCCTCGCTCGATCTGAGTATGGATGTATTGCAGTTTTTGGTGTCCATGGCTATCCTGAAATCTCAGAAGCTGCGGGGGTGCAGCCTTTCTGTGTCAGGAGGCATGCCCTCCAGCTCTTCTCTGACGCGGCGCCAAACGTCCGGGGCCACGTTACGGAAGTCGGCTCGATGAGGATTTTTTTGAGGAAGCTGATCCACAAGAGTCGGCACGGGCGTGGCATTGGACAGATTTTAAGTGGATTCCGCATGACTTTCTTCCTACCTTAAAGCACACCTTGATACTGCCCCCAACAGCCATGGAAACAAACGTGGGCTTGAAGAACGGGGTTCTAGTTGGGAGAGTACCATTTTCTGTTTCGATCCTAAGTGCATCATTGGCACAGCTCACGCTGCCTTTGTGGCTCAGCGACAACGCTACCCCGCTTGGCTTCTTGGCAGGCGGGAGTTGAGCTGATGGGATCCTTGAGCCAAGGCCTCCCAATGGGACTTCTCTTCCACTGCCCCTATGGCTTTGAACAATTCCTGGCCGAGCCATCAGATAGTCGGCTCATGCCATTCTGGGACTTGTTGGCGGGATAGGCATCAAAAAACAACTTAATAGGCATCAAAAAAATAGGCATCAACACTGTTTAGGCATTCAACAAATACTTATGCTCATTCCTATGGGGGGAAGGAAGGAAGGAAGGAAGGAAGGAAGGAAGGAAGGAAGGAAGGAAGGAAGGAAGGAAGGAAGGAAGGAAGGAAGGAAGGAAGGAAGGAAGGAAGGAAGGAAGGAAGGAGGAAGGAGGAAGGAAGGAAGGAAGGAAGGAAGGAAGGAAGGAAGGAAGGAAGGAAGGAAGGAAGGAAGGAAGGAAGGAAGGAAGGAAGGACCCCCCCCAACCACCCCGCTGATTTGTAGAAGGTTGACAGTGATTCACGCACCCTTTGCTGAATCATCACTTCTTCGATCATCATCACCCTTTGTCGAATCATCACTTCTTCGAGCATGAATCATGGGGGGGGCTGCCGCCCCCCCCAACCCCCCTGCTGATTTGTAGAATGCTTACAGAGCTTAACGCACCCCTTGTTGAATCATCACTTCCTCGAATATCATGGGGGGGGCTGCCGCCCCCCCAACCCCCCCGCTGATTTTCAGAATGTATACAAAGCTTAACGCACCCTTTGCTGAATCATCACTTCCTCGATCATCACTCTCTCTCTTTCTTTCTTTCTTTCTTTCTTTCTTTCTTTCTTTCTTTCTTTCTTTCTCGCTCTCGCTCTCGCTCTCGCTCTCGCTCTCGCTCTCGCTCTCGCTCTCGCTCTCGCTCTCTCTCTGTCTCTCCCTCTCTTTCTCTCTCTCTCTCTCTCTCTCTCTCTCTCTCTCTCTCTCTCTCTCTCTCTCTCTCTCTCTCTCTCTCTCTCTCTCTCTCTCTCTCTCTCTCTCTCTCTCTCTCTCTCTCTCTCTCTCTCTCTCTCTCTGTTTTCTCGCGAAAGTGCTGCACCTGCCGCGAAATTGGCACCTCTTGCGAAAGTGCTGCGCCTGCCGCGAAATCTGGACCGCACCTTGCGAAAGTCCTGCACCTGCCGCGAATCTGTTCCTGACCTTGCTAAAGTGCTGCGCCTGCTGCGAAATCTGTACCTAACCTTCCTCACCCCGCTGATTTCTAGAAGGTTGACAGTGATTAACGCACCCTTTGCTGAATCATCACTTCTTCGAGCATCATGGGGGGGGCGGCAGCCCCCTCCAACCCCCCCGCTGATTTTCAGAATGTTTACAGAGATTAGCGCACATCACTTCTTCGATCATCATCACCCTTTGTTGAATCATCACTTCTTCGAACATGAATCATGGGGGGGGCTGCCGCCCCCCCCCCAACCCCCCTGCTGATTTGTAGAATGCTTACAGAGCTTAACGCGCCCCTTGTTGAATCATCGCTTCCTCGAATATCATGGGGGGGGCTGCCGCCCCCCCCCCCCCCAACCCCCCCGCTGATTTTCAGAATGTATACAAACCTTGCGAAAGTCCTGCACCTGCTGCGAATCTGTACCTGATCTTGCTAAAGTGCTGCGCCTGCTGCGAAATCTGTACCTGACCTTCCGAAAGTATTGCGCCTGCCACGAAAATGTGTACCTGACCTTGCGAAAGTGCCTTGCGAAAGTGCTGCGCCTGCCGCGAAATCTGTACCTGACCTGCGAAAGCATTGCGCCTACCTTGCGAAAGTGCCGCGCCTGCCACGAAATCTGTACCTGACCTTGCGAAAGTGCTTTGCCTGCCACGAAATGAATAAGTTTTTTTTGATCCCTAAAAAGTTGTTTTTGGATCCTCTGATTTTTCATTTTTAATAGTCAATCAATGAGAATAAGTTGTTTTTGATCCCTAATAAGTTTTTTTTGATCATCAGTTTTTTTTTGATGCCTAAAAGTTGTTTTTTGATCCCTCACCCCTTCTTGGCCTCAAAGCTAGTTGGGCATAGGTCTGCGCTCGGCCCTTAGTGCAAGACGTTGCCCCCCCGAAACCGCGAATCTGGTGACCCGGCCACGTTGCCGCGAGAATCTGGGTTTCTGTGCCAGGCAAAAACGAGCCAGAGCCCTGGCTGCAGTTGGTGCCAATGGGTTTTGCCTTTGAAATCTGCGCATGTAGTCTGCCTCACCGCCCGAATCCATACGTTGGGCAATTGCCTCTGAGGACATGCCGGATTGCACCGATATTTTCGTCGATCAGGAGGAGGCAAAGGAGATTCCGAAACAGGTTGAGCCGGGCAGAGGAAGTTACAGGCGCCCTGGACCATGCATACTTTGGTCTGGGCTTTCTGTCTTGGGCCTGCTTGAATGGCGGTTGGGGTGGGTCAGACGCAGTTGCCTTCTAGATCTATTACTTGGGGTAACCTCGAAAGTTTGAAAATGGGGGCCACCGGCCCAGATGTTAAAGCTGGCGCATCTGGCTGTCGGCATTGGTCTGGTTATCTTCAAGCGCAAAGGCTGAGTGGTGTCCATCTTTCCCTAAGTGCATGTTGGATGCAGGCAGCCCGCAAGCAAGACTTTGTGCCAAGTAACCGCTTTCCCCCTCTCATCTGAGGTATGAGCTGACACATGTGGGCGAGGGCAAAGGCGACTACGTAAAGGAGGTAATTCCTGCTGAACGTCGCTGCAAGGGCTGTTGGCAGGCGTCGGCGGGTCATCTTGGGCCTTGGGTGTACGGGTGCATTCTTGCTTGACCATGGCAGCCCGGAAATCGGCGAAGTACAGACGCGCACGATATGAATTCGGGGATGTAGGACCCCTGCTTCAGCCCAGCAGGACCGACTAAATGGGCTGATTCTGCATAGCATTGGCAGGTGGTGTGCTGCCTCCTTTTGCTGGTGCTCTTTGTGGGTCTTCTCTTATGGCTGACGCAAGCTTCATCGTTCCTCGGCCAGGCAGGACATGTTAACACCAAGATTGGGACTAGTATTTTGAGCTGCTTTGGAGTTGGGCAAGTAAGTAAACATCCAGACATTGACATGGCATTGATACAGTTGTTGAGTGGCCTCGAGTCGTGTCTACCAGTTTCAGTAGATCTAGTAAACCAAAGCTGCCAAGTGCGGGGTGTGAAAATGCAAACGAAGGCCACACCGATTTCCAATCACAGCCACTCTGACCATGTCCTGATGCCCTCAGGCTAGAGAGGGGCTAAACCCGGCAGCAAGGTGTCATTCCTGCTGTTCTGGGTGTACACGTACTATTCATTTTGTCCCCTTCGAGGGAATTTGGTGAGTAGCCCCCCATGCCCCAATGGAGATTTGATGAGTGTGCCCAACGCCATTCTCTTTGCTAAGTGCGTAGATAGTACATATCGACCATTGCTCACATCGTCACGCTGAATGGAGCCACTGAAAGCCGGGCGCGACCAGGCGCTGGCCAAGGCGTTCTGAAGCCACGGCTCCTGTGTCGAAACATGTGGGGATGGGTCCAGGGTTCCCATTTGGCCTTCAAACATGAGGCATCCTTCTAGCCTCCGGAGCCTCGAAATGGGTCCTTGGGGCTCCACCGGCGACGCCTGGGTCGCTGCGAGCAGCTCGCCACCTCGCCACCTCGCCACCTCGGGCTCTGGCTGTCGCGCAACTGCTGAAGCATCCGCTTGCCGAAGTCAGAATTCGGCACCTCTGGCGCGCAAGCCAACAAGAGGTCACCAGGAGCAGCAGGCTGCAGACTCCGCCTTTGCACCAGGTCACTTAGAATCCCAAAGCCCTGCCCACTTCTGAGGCCAGTCGCTGAGGGCCTTCAATCTTCCACCGGTGGATGCCAGCAACTTGAGAAAAGGACGCCCTTCTGTACAACATCTCAGAATTCATCGGGGCACCGGCCACTCGTTGGATCCTCTGCACCGGTGCTTCTTAGCCTCAGCGCTCGCTTTTCCCGGAGTGGAAAGCGAAAGGCGCAGTGCGCCCGGCCCCAAGGGCGTGACCGTCTCTTTGAGTTTCAGGCCTCAACCTGCGGATGGAATGGAGCGAATGGAGCATGCGACGTCATGCGACCTTTTTTTTCTCCTCCAAGACACTGGAGCTGCCGGGCGACGCGAAGCTCCTTGCACAAATTCGAGACCGGCGGCGGTCTGATTGTATGTCTGAGCCCCTGCGAAAATGGTCGCAAGCTGGTCTGGCACCGAAGCATTGTGCAGATTCGATGGCTTTGGGCAAAGGTGATGCTTTTCCAGGGTGGTTCTGGATTTTGGTGCTGGTGCAGTGTTTGATGTGTAGAGGTTGGAAACATGATTCTTTGAGACGCGGGCTCGGAGTGTGTTCTGTCTGTGTCTGTCGCACGCTGTGTGTGTCTGTGTGTCTGCGTGTCTGCGTGTGTGTGTGTCTTGTGTGTCTTGTTTGTCTTGTGTGTCTGTGTGTCTTTGTGTCTGTGTGTCTTGTGTGTCTGTGTGTCTGTGTGTCTGTGTGTCTCTGTGTCTCTGTGTGCCCTTGTGCCTGTGTGTCTATGTTTCTGTGTGTCTGTGTGTCTGTGTGTCTGTGTGTCTGTATGTCTCTGTGTCTCTGTGTGCCTGTGTGTGTGTGTGTGTGTGTGCGTGTGCGTGTGTGTGTGTGTGTGTGTGTGTGTGTGTGTGTGTGTGTGTGTGTGTGTGTGTGTGTGTGTGTGTGTGTTTGCTTGCTTGCTTGTCTGCTTGCTTGTTTGTT